AGATGTTTGACTCTATTGTGGGTAAAAGCTGCTTAAAAGTCATTGAAATTTAAATGCATCAAATGGGCATTGCCTGATGTCCATTTGGTTTGGAGACAAGAGAAAGGTGTAAGTGTCCAGCATCTCAGAGCATGAGTTTTCCCTTCCTTATCCTAGGAGGTACTCCGCAGTGTCTGTTCTAACCGGGACTCCTGACATCCATCCCAAAAAAGATTAAGACACTTGTAGTCATTTCCTAATGGTGATCTACTTACTTGGGATGTGCACTGAGGAAAGAGTTTGTGTTTTAATTTACTGAGAAGCAATAGCACAAAGGCATGTCAGAGCCTTCAAGGATGTGTAGCTATGTACCAGAACCTTGAATTCACATCACAGACCTGGAGCAATGATCTTAAGGAATGATCCAGCAAAATACTTGAAGCAATAAGGTGCTAATGTCTGCCTCGGGTTGCCTTTGTTTATTTTTAATATGTCAGACAAAATTGCCAAGATACCTTCAATAAGGTGCTAATGTCTGCCTCAGGTTGCCTTTGTTTATTTTTAATGTCAGACAAAATTGCCAAGATACCTTAAATCTGTAGTTAGAGGACCCTTATCAGAAATATTTGTGTCACACACGAACTTCCTTTTTCCTCCCATTAACAGATTTGTGGTTTGTATTTAAGATAGGTGTCTGAAGATTTCATCCCTCCTTTGACTTGGCTGCAGTCTTTCACAGTTTCTAATGCAGTGGCTTGCATCCACTGAGCAATTGAACATGCTTCTGAGAGAGGCACTAGGGAGGGAAGGGATTGAGTTGTTCCTACAAAAGCATAACAGATTTTGCCCCAGGTATTGTTGTGTTTGTGAGGTGGTAAAGTCAGGTTTTTAAAATGAAGAGATGCTGCCATTGAGACTGTTTAGGCATTCCTAACTTGCTATTCTTGGGAAAGAGCCTCATGTGCAAATCTGCAGATGGCTCTGTTAGTGAAGCCATGCGGTGTTCGTTGACCTTTTATTTGGATGTAGAAACTAGGGTCCCTTTCTTTGGATTCAAAGTATGGTTTTATGATGAGGCAGGTAACAGTGCTTTAGAGAACTAAATTCTCTCCCTGCCACAGAGCTGTGAACATATGCTAAAAGGCAGTATTCAGTCAGCACTGAATTACTTGTGGTGATTTGTCTGGGCTAGAGATTAAGATGTGTTTTACATAGTTGCTACAAAGCTAGATCTAGGCAGAATTCCCCCAGACAGATCCACCTGGAAAAGTCTGTGTGTGACAGAAATTTGCAGTTACTTGGGAGTCTCAGCACTATGTTTCCAGGTCATCCAGTTTCTGTGTGAGGAGTCCTCACTCTCTTGAGCTGGTGGTGAGTTGACGATAAGAGGTTTGTTGTCCAGCTTGTTTCTTCAAGCATAGTTTTACGTTATTTTCATTACATAATTATATCTTGAATACAGTGAAGAGCCCAGCATCAAAGTTTGGCCTGCCGTATCTGGAGCCCTTGTTCCACTTGGGAAAGCAAATGCCTTCTGCCTGGTAGTACAGTATGAAGAAAGACTCAGCTGTATGGAACACAGTTAGAAAACTGCTTTCCTCCAGCCTGCTCACTTGCTTTTTTTCTGATGCTTTCATTCTTCTCCTGAAACTTGAGTTCATGTCTTTTTTCTTGTTGTCAGTTGAGCCCATGAGCATCGGATGGACACTTGCCTGCCAAAAGGGACAATGAGCTAGAAATAGCTGTCTCGGCAATGCTGTCAGCTTTCCTGGCTGTACTTGTGTTTAATTCAACATGCTCGGAGCCCTGGCCTTGGGAGCAGGACAGCAGCTGACTATGCCTTGGTTTTCACTTTACCACCTTTATTTATTTATTTTATAGTAGGAGCAGTGTCCTACTATAATTTTGTAAGTTGCTTTCCCATATCACCTAGTCCCTAATCGCCATAATGATTAGTCACTTTTATGAGAAGGGCTTTTAGCATTTCATGATGATGATGATGTCTGGAAAGGTTTAAGCAGAAAAGGTGGTGTATTTCTGTTTACTATCTGCATGAAGAGTTAATAGCATTTTTAGTGGATCTAACGTGTGCATGAGGGAAAAAGGCAATGTAGAAAGACAGTTGCACTTTTAACTTTTCTAGGTTTCCTCAGGACAGTAGAAATTGCAGCTCACAGGAAATTTTATGTAGATGCAGCCAATCATTTTTTGAAGGAAAGAAGTCTTGACATTGAGGTTTATGCCTGGCTACCAGCTTTTCTGGGCCTTGCATTAGAAGGATTTAGCTGGGTGTAGTGGAGGTAGTGAATGACACCTAACACAAAGTAATCACAGCTGAGAAAACCCGTGTAAATAAGAATGGAGAGATATATAGGAGAAAGTGGGATTGCCTCATGTTTGGCTCCAAATGTAAGTAGAAAGATGAGCGTAACACAAAGTAATCACAGTTGAGAAAAACTCGTGTAAATAAGAATGGAGATCTATATAGGAGAAAATGGGATTGCCTCATGCTTGGCTCCAAATGTAAGTAGAAAGATGAGCTTTATTGCTGTTGCTAGTGATGCAGCTCCAAAGAGGCTGCTCTTGGAATGCTCTTGGTGCCCCAGACCTTGTGGGCAGGGAGCAGCTGGGGTGCTGGGAGGTCACAGTCATGGGACTTTGCAAACTCACTCAGTTATTTTGCCTTCCTCTAGTCTGCTTTGTGCTGGCTGTCTATTTGCAAATTTTAGAAATCAGTGGAAATGGAAGGAGGCAGTTAAGTGCCCACCTACCATGTTACTTGTCACCCACAAAGACTGAAGTGCAGGGAGATGCTAATCCTCCTTCTTCAGCCCGCAGAAGGAAGTGCCTCCATGGCCGTGGGTGGATGCGGCGGCATCTCCGCGCCGATGGGGAGATGCATGTTACGGAGCTGCCCTTTTCACCCTGCCGGTGTTTGCAAAGCAGGAACTCGTGCCTTTTTAAACTTCTCCCAAACGCTGCTGATGCTCCTGCTATTTAAAACTTTGTATTGAAGTTAAAGAAGAGAACATGTTATTCCACCAGGCTGTCATTTCTCTGCAATAAGGGAAAACATATGGAAGCAGGGTGGAAGCCCCCAGTTCCTCACTTGATGCCAGCTACGAAGCCAGACGTCACCTGTAGCAATGACGTTTCAGGTGATACTCTGCCAGAGGCATTAGCCTTTTGTGCTCGGGTTAGTACTCAAGAGCTGTTAATTTTTCAAAACAAATGACAGGGTTAACAGGTGACTGTGATCAATAATGTTTCCTTGGTGTTGCTATAGAAAAAAACGAAACTGAGTTGGGTAATGTGCTGAATATTGAAGGATGCCTGGCCTGTTCTTGACATAGCTGATTAATGCAGTCTCAAACAACTCACTGGAAGAACAGAAGAGAAATAATACCCAAAACAGCTGGTAGATTTTGTAAAACTGAAATAAGTAAGTCTTTACTTTAAATACAGACTTTATACAAAAGACACTTAAAATAATTTAGTGATAGTTATTACTCACTAACAGACAAGGTGTATTTTTTCATTTTCTTTAGAAATAAATTTAGTGATGGATTAACTGTAAGTTGATATATTACTAGCTTATGTTTGGGAAGAAACTGTGTTGTTGTGCTCTAGTGCGCTCTGTCTGACTGCCCACTCTGCCCCTACAATATGAACAAACTTCATTTTGGTACACGAGCAAATTCCCCTTGTCAGGACACTTGCTGTTTTTAGGCCACATCAGAATTTTTGGGAAAAAGTAAGTGTGCTGGCCCACAGCCTAATCAGCTAGTACATGTTATATCATTACAAGGTTAATTCTGCGTGCACGGTGTGTTTTCATTGTTAGCGTTGGAAAAGTAGAGGAGAGCTGATACAGTACAGTTGTGGTTAGCCCTAATTTTCATCATAGCAGGCATAAATTTTGCTATGTATCCATATGATAATTCTACAACAGATTCTCTGGAAAATGGTTCCTGGACTTGAAAACATAGCACATGGAAACTCTTCTGGTATTTCAGAGCCAGCTTTTGTCCAAACCTCTCACCTTGAATACTGCCCGTATTTAGCTGGTCTGTTCTGTGTGTGAGGCATGTATTCAAGGAATGCTGGCTGATTTTTACCAGATGTTTTCTGAAAACAGATGTGAAGGATGGAATCAGACATAGCTTTTGATGGTTATTCTAGTGGATCATTTTACTTGGTTTATTCTGAATGTAATTGCGGAAGCCGAGTTGTGCGTCAGATCAGAGAAGCAAAATGTGACTTCATTGGAAGTGTGCTCCACGTTGGTAGGAAAGTGAAGAAGTGAGAGGGAAAAATTCAGAGAAAATAATGCTACCATATGAAAAAAAACACTCCATAAAATATTTATTATTATATTAATAAGATTAATCTATATGTTGCATGTCCTCTTATGTGGCAATTTTATGGCATAGTTGCAGAAAATACATTCAATTGCGAAGTTAAAACTGATTTAGCTGATAAAGATTTTTGAATCTTCAATGAGGCTATTTTCTGTAATTAATAGCTGTACACATGCATAATACATGCTTCCTTTTAAGCTGAAAACTGTCATTCTGTTCTGTGATATGCAGTCTTCTCTAGATTTATTTTCTATATCATTAAACCATCATAATCTAGACACCATAAAAATTATAATTAGAAGCCAGTGTTTTTATGTGAATAATAGGAGTAGTATAAGGGATTCTTTCTTACCTTCTTTCCATTTCTCGCAGGCATTACCTGACTGCTGTTGATGATGACATTATAAAATGTTACTGAAAACCAAATATTTTTTTCTTACTCAGGACATCAGAATTCAATGCAATTTAGCTTTGGTAAATATTCATATCAGTCAAATTACAGAGATGGTTAAGAAAAATTGAGTGTATAGGTCAAAATTTGTGTTTATGTGGAAAAAGCTCCTTATCTTCTGTTAGTTTTGTCCACTCCTAAGTAGAAAATATTTATTGTTGTAATCATACAGATATTAATACATTTTTTCCTCTGACTCTTTTTTTTAGCACACTGATTTATGTCAGTACATGGATAAACACCCTGGAGGGCTTCATCCGGAAAATGTGAAGGTAAGAGTCAAAAAGAGGGCACATTACAAGTGCTGTAATGATAAACTTGCACAGAAAGTTGTGTGAATTATTTGCTTGGAACCTGTCTGATTATTAGCTAAATGAAAAATGGTGGGCAGATGAGGTAATTTTATTTTAAAATAAAGTTGCAAATATTTGAGCATTCCTACAAAATAATTTGTGAAGTGTATCGAATTGAATGAGTCAGAATAAATCATAAATACTGTTTTAGTGTTGGTAACTCCTTCCCTCCACTCCAACATTTAATGTCCTCACACCCCCTAAGTGAACATATTTTAGGCTGTCAGCATGAGATCTTCAGGGAGGTGAAACTGCGAGTTCATCGGCTTCGAGGGAGCTCTCATGAATTCTGTTAGCTGAATGAACTGCTTTTTCACATGAAGCAACATATAAAATCTTTCCCAACCTTTCTGCTTCCTTATTTTTCACCTTTTCTTTTTTTAAGGTTGATGCTCAGAATCACCATGCAGTAAAGGGGGTTTATTATTAGTAGGATTTAATAGAAAAGTATTTGACTGTTAGAGACTTGATCCAGTTACTTCCTGGGAAGTCAGCCAAATTATTTTAGCATAAAATGGAAGCCAATCAGACATGCAGAATGTGTCTGTGTGTATAGACCACCCAGATGATATTTGTTACACTTGTCTTGCACTTTGACACCATTCCCAGTGTTGTTCTGCTTTGGAAGTGTTTAAATCTCCACTTGTCAAGCTGAGAAGTTCATTCCAATATTTAGTTACGTCAAGACAGAAATTGAGAAGTTCATGGGATAAAAAAAGCATTTGTTACCAGGAAAGCTGAAAAGCTTTGTCTGATTTAGGAAAAAAAAAAAAAAAAAAAAAGAAGAAGAGAAATACATAAAATTAAATTAACAGGCGATATATGTACCCCGTTATCTAGACTTCCTCACGAGGTCAAAAAGAGAGCAAAGATGGGTGTCCAAATGGGATGGGTCTGGAGTGGGGTCTTCTCCCAGCTCCAACAGGTGCCTCCTTGTGGAGCGGCTGCAAGTGTGAGGCTGAAGGCCCCTGAGGAGCAGGCAGTGCTCCGTCCCTGAGCCGTTGTGCTTTCTTCACTGCTTGCTGTCATAGGTAGAGTTTCCTAGGCCAAGCGTTTAAAGTGATGGCTCTAAGTTTTGTTTCCCTCTCTGGAGACTCTTCCTCTCGCCTCTCTGAGGTTTGTGTTGAGCTCAGATTGGATGTGGGAGCTTGGGTACGTGCGAGCACACCAGGCCTGCAGCGCCGTGCCGGTGAAGATGCAGTCCTCGCTGCGGCTGTAACTTTTCCCCACCAGGAGAACATCAAAATTCACATAATGAGACTTTTTCTTGTTCGTATCAAGGCCCAGTGAGCTTGTCTTTGAGGAGGAGAGTTGTACATGGATAATTGGGCTTGCTAATGCATCGCCCTCCTAAATCCTGAGCTAACTGGCTCTGCAACAGATTTCCTGCAGCAACCGATGTAATTACGGAGGCAGAAGGAAAGCCTAGCAGGAAGGCTGTGCTATTAAGCCAGTGAGCTGCTTTACAGGCACCTTTGAATGTTGTGCAGTGGCATTGTAGAGGAACTGCAAAAGCAGCAATTTCCTTTCAAATGTTGCTACATGTATTCCAGTGGCTGTCTTTACCATCTAACAGCAGCGATCAGCAACACGTAAGAAGCTCATGGATACATTAAAAATGTTTCTGTGAGTATCTAAGTGTAGTAGAGAACTGAGGTAATGCTAGTTACAGCTTTTTTAGAGTCCAAGTGAATTCTTAGCAAAAAGGGAACTGGAAAACAAAGGAAAAAAATGCTCATTGAAGCAGACAAAGCTAGAGAACTGAGGTAATGCTAGTTCCAGCTTTTTTAGAGGCCAAGTGAATTCTTTGCAAAAAGGAAACTGGAAAACAAAGGAAAAAAAAATGCTCATTGAAGCAGACAAAGTTGCCCTTCTGCTGTGAGTCCATTGGACAATTAAAATTATTTTTTCTCTTTAATAATAATAATGAAAATGGATCATATATGGTTAATAGAACCTCTTGGTAGGACAGCAGAATGGATTAGCCTTAATTTTTAGTGATCTTTATTAAAACCAAACACGCTGTTTTGAGCTCCGACCATTCTCAAGCTGAAGCAGCCTCTCCAGGGTTGTCTCCTGTTCTCAAGCTATGGGGAAAGACTGTGAGCTTAGCTGAACAGAGTGTTTTCTTCAGTAGGGAGCTCAAGAAGTACAGAGAGAAGGGAACTCAGCAGTACCCACTCTCTCCCAGACCATCACCAGCATGCAAAACTAAAAGTTTCCATTCTTTGCTTGCAGAGGAGATCGGAGGTTACTACCTCCTATCGTAATGTTCTGTTGCACCAAGTCTGTTGGCAAAAGTAGTTGTGGTTCTGAGGCTTTGTCACTTATTTTAGTTCTATTTCCTGGACAGAGATGACTCCAGATGATTTTTAAGGGTTGGACTGACCCCTATTAATTAGTCCTCTCCCTGCCAGCCCCTTAATTAATTAGTTCTCTCCCTGCCAGCCCCATGCCCTTCAGGAGTTTCAGTTTCAGTCAGAATTGTAGACTGTGTGCATTGAGAATCACTGCTTATGTGGCTGCATCCCCAAATCCATCTTAAGGCTTTGGTTTGAGTGGTTGAACTCCATTGGTAATCAATCAGTCCTGGTTCTCCAGGGCTAACCTGTGGGGCTAAGCTGTTGCAGCTTGCACAGTGGCAAAAGCACCTTTTAATTTCGTTCTGAGAAAACTACAGCTGATTGATGAATATTCCTTTCTGGCTTGTTGCCAATTATTATAAATACAAAAACACACAGTCACACATTTCTCTTTCCAGAGGATACTGTACATATAGGTCCTGTAAAACAGTACTTTATAGGAATGCAGAAGCAAAGTCATTATTTACTTATGTTTGGTTTCCATGGGACATCTTCAGTCTAATTATATTTCTGAATTTTCTCCTTATTTACAAGCTTAAGGCAATGCTCTTCTCTCCAGTTTACCTTTAGATGAAGAAGAATTATAAACAGAATAAAATCCAAATTACTTTGATGGACACACATACTGCTGTCCACTGGGGTGTTGTGCTTGACATTGCCTATTTTGTGGTTTCAAACAGGCTGTGTATTGTTGCTTACATTTTTTAAATATAGAGTAAGCAGATTATGAGTATGTGAAAGTATAAAGACGACTGTCTCAATGTGCATGGTAAGAGTCTAGGACAGTGTGTTTAACTAAATAAACAAACAAAAATCTTTCCTAAAGCATGAGGTTTGTCATTTTTAGCGGTGTTTTTGCATTCACATGCAGTGACCTCAGAATTTTCCACTTCCTGTGCAGAGATGTAAATCGTAGAAAAAACTCCAGGCTTTAAGCCTTTCAAATAATTTGTGTGCGAGGCTGAGATTTTATCTAATGTTGTTTTTAGTCTACTTTTCCTGAGAAAGTTAAACTGAGAGTCCTGGTAAAATACATCTGCTTAGGTACCTTAGGTAACATCATCTTAGATAGAAGGTATGACACAACATAGTAGTTTCAATCCTTAGATTCAAAACTCTACAATCAAAACAAGATTCAAACCCTATTAGTTCCAAGTAAACGATATACAGCTTTCTCAGTTAACGAGCCTGTATATCTACCACTTACTTGTAGCTATATGCTGTGTATAGTACTGGAAATTAGGGTAAAAGAAGGTAAATAATTAAATAAGTCCCTGTTTAGTAGGGACAACTTCATATTTCCTGTGTCCAGTTTTAAATATGTTTACTCCAATTTTTCCATAACCAAAGGCAAGCAGTAAGTCTTAAGTGTGTGGCCCCACCTATGTGTTATACCCTGTCCTGCTTCTAATGGAATCTACTGCTACAGCCTTATGCAGAGACTAAATTGGGGGCTGTCTTATAGGTGGTACCATGCGGAGCTTGCCAGGTGGCTGCGGCAAGCCCAGGTGTAGGTTATGCGGGTCCCGCTCTATCTTGTGCTGGACTTGCTCCTGACTATCCTTGCGCTGTTCCCCTTGGCCCAAAGTACTGGGATCGGTGCTCCAAGCCTTCTCTCCTGCAGCTGCTGCTGCCTTTAGAGATAAGTGATATTTCCTGGACTTCTGCTTGAGACATCTGGATTGCTTCTTGCAGCAGAAACTACTGGTCACAGCAGCAAACTCTGCCAGAAGATTTTCATGGTGATATTCCTGTTTATTTGTGCTTCTTTCTGTCTGGTTGGAGGGTCACCTCTCCTAGCCATTTGTCTTATCCGCTCGGGTAACATCTGGGCCTTTGTTTGCAGCTGTCTGTAAATGGTTCTTGTTTTGTAAATTCCTCATTTAATTTTTCAGTACCTTTTTGTTTTTCAGTATTTCAGGGTGTCTTGTGGAAATCTCTCACACTTCCAAAACCATATTCTTAGCTTTTTTAAAAGTTTTTGAAATAATATCTCTATTTTAATACATTCCCAGTCACATTTTGTTTTTATCTGCAAGTAAAATCATCTTTCTGTTTTGCTGAGATCTTTTTTTCCATAGCTGAGTCCATTTTTGCAGCTGCTATTACTGGTAGGACAAGCGGAGCCCAGGCTTGCATCTGTCACGCCTGCGCTGCTTGTTTATGTTCCTATCTTAAAATTAACTCTATTAATGAAAGCTGATTGGCTTTTTAATTAGTGATGGTGTATTGAAATACTTGCAGTCTTTTGAGAAAAACATCCTTGCAGTTTTCTGTCTACTTTCTCCCTCTCCCTGCAGTGTTAGAGGTAATATCAGCTTGTGCGAACAGTTCAGTTCCAAAACCATTTTTGACTAAATGAAAATACCACTTGTCTCTGTCCCAGAGTTCCTCAATTAGCGCAATGCCAGGCTGGGTGACAACAGGGTTGTCAAGCAGAAAAGTAAAAACTGCCTCTGTCTTCTCCCATCACTCTGCGCAGCTCGCCTGCAGGCAGCGGGGAAGCCTCCTGCCGTCTGCTGTGACCAGAGGGAGGAGTAACTTCTAGCTTGTTCT